GACGTTAGTCGGTTAAGACATTAAACCGTTTTTATTTATCAGTTTAAAATTTTAACAGTTTTCAGAAAAATCAAGTTTTTCACGGTAGCATCCCGAATCAGTTTTTGCAAAAATAAGTATTTTATTTATTTATTTAGAAAATTGCGAAAAATCGCGTACTCTGATATTATAAAAAGTCGGGATGTTACAAATGGTATCAGAGCACGTTTCTGCGTCTCTGAAAAGTTTTTTAGTCAGTAATTTTCAGAAAAACCTGAACCGTCACGCTCACACCTCGCCGACTCCAGGTAAGTGCTGATTCAGTTTTCAGTTATAAACATATTACTTTGTTTATGCTCAGAAATCAGTAATCAGACTTAGTTAAGATGCTCGAATTAGATTCAGACTTTAGAGTTCACATATAACTCTAGAATTCAGTATATTCAGACATGACTTTAGAGATCAGTTTACTCAGACATGACTCTAGAATTTAGTATCTTTCGATATAACTCTAGAGTTCCTCAGGATTCATGTCAGTATTTGTCAGTCAGTTTTGGTAACTCATCAAGAGATCTGTGTGCCTTAGTAATCAGTCAGAGTATATTATCATGTGTTCAATAATGTTGAACTTTCTCAATGATCAGATGCCGCCCCGTAGGGAACCCGATCACCAGGTTCTTACTCAGGCCACAGTAGTCGCATGGTTTCGCGACTATCATGCTGAGAATTTTTTTTTTTTTTGAGCAGGGAGATCCCTGTATTGTGGACGGGTGGATTCAGAACCTTAGAAAGGAATTAAGTTTGAGAACTCTAGATTCAATTCTAGATTTATTCAAGTCAAGTTAGCAATTTGTCAGGAGATTTGTATGCACTCATTCTAAACAAATCTTAATAATCATGTTTATCAGATATTTCTATCGAAAACTGCCATTTTACCAATCAATTGGCAGACTTCAGGAAGAAATTCCTTGATTTAATTCGAGGAAGAGACTCAAATTTCCTAAGCCAGATCAGTAAATCATGTTCATGGCAAAAATTTTCATGTTAAAGGTTGTTATAATTCTCAAGTCATTGTTAAGGTAACAGTTTCCAGTGTTTAAGAGTCAATAGTCCGGGTTACCATGGAGGCTTGAAATAATAGCCATTCAGCCGGGTATACCATGGAGGCTTGAAGCTGAAACCGGAGCAGTATGATTTCATGTAATAACAATCTTTCAAGTCAGTCATGTCAGATATTTTATCAGTCATGATATTTCAAGTTATGATTTTTAAAGATCAAGATCAGCTAATTACTTTGTACTTGCAGGACCAGTTGATACTGGAGCAGCCCTATATAGTACAAGAGTTATAAATTCATATTCGCGATTTGCAATTTATGTTCATGATGTAAGGTCGACGTATAATAGTTGTTCAGCCGGGTTGATTGTGGCGGTCTGAGATACAGACCATTAGTCCAAATTTACCTGGAAACTTGAAGTCGCACCTTATCAAGTCATGTAAGCCAGTAAATATCACGTTTTAAATTCCGAAGCGACTATTTAGTTGTCTCGGGATAGTTTTCAGAGTTCAGACAAAGATGATGCAGTCATGTAAAAGTCAAGTCATGGTTATTTAGTTATGAGAATATTCAGGCCAGTCATGTCAAGATCGAGAATAGTCTGTCTAATAAGACAAGACTTATTTATCATTTTTAGTATGTCAACGCCTCGAGTCTCAAATTCTGAAGAATCTGAGAAATCGGGGGAGATATTCATTCATGATGGACTTCTTCTTGAGGTTAAGTTTACCTCGGAGGGAGTAAACAGTTGCAGGTACCACAGGTTGACATACGCCGCGACAAAGAAGGGCCAATCGATAGCAACATATAGTGCTATGATGACAAACCGACGCCTTCTATTCAAAAATGCCATGTTTGAGTCTCAGTACACGGGGAGATTACAGAGAGTTAGTATTAACGTACATTGAGGTTACTAGCTTGAGGTACAAATGCGATCAGATTACGTCAACGACGCAGGTGCAATGTTCGCCAGGTGTTGTATGCAGGCGTGCCGCACTCACTTGATGAGGAGCAGGTGTGCCGCATTACAATGTGCCGCGAACGATGTGCCGCGTTGTCGAGCAGACATTCATGAAAGGTAATTACCAATACAGCTAGTTATCCTCATATGTACATATGTGTATCTCTGGAATCTTCCATGTGTACCAACGACATGAGTCTTCACAACCAGCGTTCAGATTGGAGATCAGCCAGCAGTCAGAAGATGATGACCAATACGCTTCAGAATGACGTTTTGAGATCATGTTTTATCAGTGGAACACTTCATTTTAGAAAGTGTCCATTCTCAGTCA